ACCTGGAAAATAATCGATTCATGGAATAGATTGAATCACATCCTTTCTACACATAATCATTCAGCATTACCGTACTCAGCAGCCCTGTGAAGAGGTGTCGTTCCATCGTTCTCTTTTTCATTAACATTGGCACCTTTCTCGATGAGAAGATGAACGATCTCCTTTCGACCTGGAAAATAATCGATTCATGGAATAGATTGAATCACATTCTTTCTACACATAATCATTCAGCATTACCGCTCGCAGCAGCCTTGTGAAGAGGTGTTCTTCCATTGTTGTCTTTTTCATTAACATTGGCACCTTTCTCGATGAGAAGATGAACGATATCCTTATTACCTGGAAAATAATCGATTCATGGAATAGATTGAGTCACAGTCGTTCTACACAGAAATATTCAAAAAAAATACCCATAGAACTAGCCAAATTAAGAGCTGTTGCACCATTCCATTTATGTGACCGTTTTAACAAAAATTCCAAAGCAAAGTGTTCTGAGTAATTGTTGAGATTTTCCAATATTTTTTTAACAATATCAGTTTTTCCATGTTCGATAGCTTCGTGTAAAATACTGCCGTGGTCATCAATTGACAACAAAATCGGTTTTATTTCGAAGTTCCCGGTTCGAAGTGCATCTAACATGTCCAATGTACTGCTATTTTGGTTTTCATGATGGTTACGAATTGCATTGACCAGTTCCGCTCTTTTTTGTTTGATTTCATCAAAAATCATCTGAATTTCATTCAATTTTTCATGCAATTCCGGCACTGATTCGCCAATTAATTCCAACATATTCTTTATATTGTCACGAACAACATCAACATCACGCGAAAATGCAGTAAATGTCGCCAGATCTTCGAAAAATTCGTCATCTTCGATACCTGTTGTTAATGCTTTAATGATATCATGAGATTCAGCACTCGTTTTATATGTCGATAGTTTATACAAAGGGTTCTCTCCACGTCTATCACTTCGTAATAACAACTTCTGTCGGATGTCAGGATACTGTCGAATACTATCTAATATTATATTGATGATCGACGTGTCTCCTTTGATAAATGCACAATGTAATACATTTCGACCATAGCCATCGGTTTGTAGTAACAATTTCTTTAAAATGTTCTTGTCCTCACTGTCCTGGCAAATACTTTCGAAGAACAGCTTATAAATGCCCTGATAACCATTTTTGACAATGTGCACAAAAAATGGGCGGCTACCCTTGTTTGTGAACTTTAAAATTGACTCCATTGCAGCATCCGTCAATTTGATTTGTTTTTTGCTTTCGGGGAGTTTTTCAATTTGATCATTGAAAAACTGGCAAATGAGCCCATAGCTATAGTCTCTAAAGATTTTACTGCACAACAGCTTCTGTACTTCTTCGTTGCTCCTATTATTGATCAAATACCGACTGAAATAATATTCAAAGAAGCTTCGGTGAATGAAATCCAAATCTTTTCCTTTTAAAATTAATAGTCCAGTTCCGGTTATATAATTTCTCCTGCTGATTGAATCTGGTGTTTCGTTTGCCAGTTGTTCCAAGTTTCCCAAGCTCAGCTGTGATTTATCATTTGGAAAGAAGAGTTTAACGGATAATTCCATACAAATGTCATGAAAACAACCTCTGGCCATTACACTCTCGCAGTTTGCTTGTACAACTTTTAAATCCTTTTTAACTTTTTCTTTGGAATGAATATCAAGTTTGATTTCGATAAACTGATGGTATAAATTGAAGATATCAGTTTTTTCGGGCAAACGGAATTTCGTTTCCAATGCAACAACGGCCAACATTTGTAAGAGTAGCGGAACCGTTGTAAATTTTCTATTTTTATCAAAAATAGCACGATTCCATTTATGGAGGATATTGTCGGATTGTGTGGAGAAATCAAATTCATTTATGTCTTTTAAGATCTGATCAGGTTTCGACCTGATGTTCAGATAATGCAAAATTTCTTGATAGTTCGATGGCTTTTCTTCTGCCACTGTCAACTTCCATTTCCAATATTTGTCCAAAAATTTCTTCTGATCTTTTTTGGTTAATGGATTCAACGTGTAAGCAAGCGATCCGAGCTCTTTCTGCAAATGATCTTGCTCATGAGCTCGAGTCGTGACCCAAATTTGTGCAACTTCGCTATCCTTCAGAGCCTTGATCAGCTTTGTGGTGTTGGATTCGTAGTCCGGACAGATTTCATCGAACCCATCGAACATTAGAACAATTTTGAGTTTCTTTAAATTCAATCCAAATTTCTTTCTTTCAAGACTTGATGCGAAAAGCGTTCGTTGTATTTTGATATCGATATTCTTCGTTGCATCTCCGGGGATTGCCATTTTCGCAACAAAATCTATAGCTCTTTCAACATCATTTTCCTTAAATTCGTAGTTACACAAATCCTTGGCATAATCATTCACATTGATTCGCACAATCAATTTGACTTCATTTTCATTCGTCTCGTCATCGTTTAATTTTCTCATCTTTTTAGCCATACTGGTCAAGACCGTAGATTTACCCATTCCGGCTTCATTTGCTAGTATAACGACTTTGCTTCCGAATTGTTTCACGTTACAGAAATGATGTTCATCTGGAAACACCTCTTTGGATTCAGATGGATCTTCATGTTCATTCTTCTCGAACACGTCGTGGAAACGATCTTCTAATTCAAATTCCGAGTCCGAATCTGATTCAGATTCCGAGTCCAAATCTGATTCAGAGTCTGAATCTGATTCAGAGTCCGATGGAGCCACATCCTTATCAATACTCTCGGTGATGAGTGAAATATCGCCGGTAGATAATTTCCAGAATAGGCTCATGCCTCGATGCAATTCCAACCAGTGAAAATTTTTCGCAGATCTCCGAAATATTTCATACAGCTCTTCATCACTTTCACCTGGCGGAGGAAGAATAATCCCTTTGTCCCATTTCGTATTTTGTACATATTCGTCAGTCCATTGGACGATACTCTCTTTTGGAGCTCCAATTTTGAATAAGTCTTCTTCCCGAATGGCCAAACCTTCTTTCGAAGTAATGAAAAATAATTGATCTTCATTTTTGAGAATGTCATTTTTGATTATCTGACGATGAAATGTTCTCTCGATGTAATAATCTTCCACGTAGCCATTGGAAGAGAAGGCATTTTCGTTGCCTATCTTCAATTTATCCCCATTCAAAAGTCTCGTGACCATTTCCTCGTCAAAGAAATCCGCATCATAATTTCTTTCGATGAGTCGGTTTAAGCTCATGGTTGTTCCTTCGAAATTGACTTTCGTTCCGAGTACCACATTTTGGGACTCTTCATCTAAATCGTTGAATGAAGTGGTGTCGTTTTTTTCTTGAAATTCCAAACCAGAATTGTTTGAATCCTTTCCAAACAAAATGATCATTTTCTTCTTTGTTCGTTCTTTGTTCAGAGGCCCATCGAGTATATTTTTGACTTGTTCATTAATTGAAATCAGCGGTTTTTCGTCCTCAAAATAGATTACCAAAAGGTCATGACTTTTAGGATTTCTAAATGCGTCAAAAACAGACTGCTTTATTCCATCTTGTGATAGTTTTTTGAATGGAATTAAAATGAAACCGTCTTTATTCTTATAAATCCCATGCCTCTTCAGTATTTGACGCACCTTAATGGCGCTCAATAGTGTGGACCGAGTGCGAAGGTAAATAACTTGCCGTTCTTGTTGTTCTTCATTTAAAAATTCGTTTAAATTTGTTGAAAGTTCTGAAAAACTTGACGATTTTTCATTGAAATGAATTTTATGTTCATCCAAATCCTCACAGTAGGCCATACTCAAGCCAGAGGCGAGTAAACCATTGAATGCACTCAATAGTTCATCTTCAAAATGAGGTTTGTAATAAACATTCTTTCCCTTCTTAGAATTCATAAGCTCCAGAATTCTTTCCACAAACGCAGAATGTGCTAAATCAACATTCAATAATTTGTAATGGTCACCTTTGAGTAAATCCCCATTTAATTCCCTTAACTTCTCTTCGTTCGGAAAGTTGGTGACAAATCGAAACTTCTGCATAAATTCGGCAAGGTACCCACTTTTGGTGTCAAACGTAGCATCATCCAGAGCCACTTCGATGATTGATAGTTCAGAAATGGCCTCGCTGAGTTCCTTGTCTAAAGCTTCAACACTAAACATTTTTGTTAGGTCAATGAACTCTTCGAGATCTTCTTTTATTATTGCTTCTACATTTTTTATATCCGTGCCATTTCGAATTGTTTCCCTATGTTCATTACATTTTGTCACTATATCTTTCAGTTTTTGTTTATCCATTTTTAAAGATGCCGAATCGGTTTGATCTTCGTCGGATTTCTTCTTTTTTACCATCAATACCTCGTTCAATTTCTTCTCAAGCGATTTGCTAATTGCTCCAGCTTTTTCTTTTATTTTTTCAGCACGCTGTTTTAGCTCACATCGAGCTGCGGGAAATTTCGGAATTTGTTTCGATGTCAAAGCGATGACCAATAAACTCCCTTTAATGAATGACTTGAATGACTTGAGTTCATCATCGTTAGCACGCAATTGGAAACTTTTCACGTCAAAAGCTTCCAGATACAAAATGTCATCGTGATTCAAACTGTCCTTCACAAGAAGTTTATCCCATTTCAGCGTTTGCTCGTTTTTTACGTCAGAAGTTGCGTTAAAATCAAAGTTTGCATTCGTAACCATAACAAAGTCTTTTAAGTTCTCCTTTTTGTAATTGTTTAGTATTGTAAAATTCCGATTGATTAGAACAAAAGATAAAAAATATTTCGCAATACTGAGTGGCCCTTTAATTCCTTCTAATTCAACGCTTTTGATGGTAGCATTATCGTCGAGTTTGTGTTTTGCTTGAACAAAACTCCAACAGTTTTTGTTTCGGTTAAACACGACATCATCAAACTTTTCTGCCGCATCCATTTCGCTTGCGAGCTGAAATACTAAGCCCATTTCTGGCGCGCGCAGTGCATAAAGCATGATTAGTCTGACCTGGAATATAAATCCATGCATATTATTTTCGGTTGAATGAAAGGTATCGTCAGTGATTTGTGGCTCATTCAAAAGGCTTGCGTTGGATCTTGAATTCAGATTTTCTACAGTTTTCAATGGATTCCTTCGAATTTGTTGATCATTTTTGCCAAGAGATGGGCCCGGTCGAATGCTCTCCAATGATTCCTTGATTTGTTTCAAATTATGGTCATTCGGTTCCTCTTTCAGTTTGTCAATAACCAAATCCAAAGGAGTCCTTAGTTTTTTATTTGGTATAGTTGCATCCGCTCCATACTTGAGCAATATATCAACGGCTTTTTTATGGCCACATTCAACAGCAATATGTAAAGCAGTATTACCGTCTTTATCTTGAAAATTAACATTAAATTCCGAGGTTTTTCTGGACAACACCTTTTTCATATCTTTAATTCTCTTTTTCTCAACATAGTAGAATAATAAATCTTGATCCTCATTATCCAAACGACCGTTGGAATCGCTATCGGATGAAGACATTTTTCTGTCGAACTTTTCGATGACCAAGAGCAAAAACAATGTGTATTTTTAATGTCTGGAAATGTTCGCTCTCTTTTTTCACTCACAAAACAGTTTCTTTCAATATTCTCCAAATTGATTATCTGCACACGACGTATGTGGTAAGCGAACGCAGTACAATTCTGTTCTCGTGATGACGATGACGATGACGATGACTCAAACGTGAAAACAAGTTTCAAATTCAAATCATATTACTCATTTCCGTTCAACGTGCGCACTGAACATAACTAAGCTGTGTTGATTGCACTCTCTCTCTCTCTCTATCTCCTCTTTCTGTGCGATATTTTGTCATTAGTTAAAAATGCTCTTTAAATTTCTTCAATCGAACGGTTGCTCATTCACAATTGTTCATTTTTTATATCTCGATTTTCAGAAAAAAACATTTATTTTTCACTGCGGTTATATTTCACCATTCATATCAAGTATTGGAGAAACACTTCTTTGCAACAACAAAGCTGTGCCGATTATTTTACGAGGATTATTTGGCTGTTCACACCCTTTTTTTAATTCTAAACTACTGTTTTATCGTTATAATTTAGGTTGATAAAGCACTATTTTATTAGCAGCATAACAAACGGTAGTAATTTCAAGTTAAATCACAACATATTTTACAAGTCTTTTCAAACACACATTTCAATTAAATCATCATTCGATATGTAATGCTTATCATACTTTGGCAACGTTCTCTTAATGTATCAAAAACCGAAAACGTTTCATTATTTCCAGAAAAATTATTATCGAAACTATGTCTTTTATCCACACTCCGTTGCTACATCTGTCTCTTTTTATCTATCAGTTTGAACTGTGTCCAATGTCTATGCCTGCACTTCGTATAGATCTACGGTCTTGTTGAATCGAATGAGTGGAGAATGAAGAAACGTAATAATCACAGTATGACACCATACATAACATCTAGATATGAATACACTCAAAATCTATTGTGTATGTGGATTGTGTTATTGCGGTTCCAAAACTATTTCGTTAATCTATTAAAAAAATTATTCCGGCGAAAAGAGCACATTTTTCAACACAAGAACGGAACAACCGATCACTATGATCGTGGTGCTGCGACTAGCAGTTGTGAAATTCATTTTTGATTAAAACGCTCCTCTATAGTTATCTGGAGAATTATGCGTGTGTAGAGAGGGGAGGGACGTTTTGAGAGTGAGAGTATTTAAGCAATTCATCGTGGTATAGAAGCATATAGACTCTACATATATGTGTGCTTACAATATACACACAGACACCGACTAACGTGATTTATTTTTATATGTATTTTTTTTGTCACGATCGTCAACAACGAAGAAAAAAACAAAAATTCAACACACAAAATGGTTTGTCAGATTTCAGATATTTGACATAAATGTCAGTTCATGTGAAATTTAAATGAATTTCACATAAACCGTGTCTATATAAATGTATCGACAAACCGATTATTTTGTGTGAAGTATCAAGATCAAGAAATCGATGGTACTTCCTTGGTATAGATCATAGAAGAATTGTCTTGCTTTACATTCGAAAACCCATTATTAACGAAAATATTCAAATGAAATGATGAAGAAACCCATTAAAGTAAAATATGTATAATGAAAACATATCTGGTCATTGTCATTTTGATTGTTTTTATTTTCATCGTCATTTGTTGAGAAATTGATCATTTTTGCGTATGCGCACGTTTCTGACATCGGTGCTGATTGATCCATCGATGGTGTCTAATATCAAAAGCTTTCCAATTACTTTTTATCATGAATGTTTCACTTGGAAGCGCGTTCGTTGTGACTTTGCAAAAGGCTTAAACGTATTCTCAGCACGATTGTCACTATTGTCGATGCAGATTTTGTTATAAAAAAAATCTATCACTTGATCATAGCAAATGTGAACTGATAAAACGGTCCTTATATTTTTATAGTTGAATGATTTGTTTTCAATTGCTGGGAAACCTAAAAGTGACTCATCGCGGTTAATGATTTCAATTTGATGGGCCTTCGAACCACACCAAATTATATTGAACTTATTGTTACTTTCAATATTCTCCCCAGTGCCTATGGATCAAGCTGTTCAAACGACAACATAATTTTGGCTACATTTTTTTTTTTCACACGAAGCCTAGTGCTTCGAACACATTGATACAATTATTATTATTGCAGTGACTTCATTCACATAACATAATATTTGCTCATAAGCGTTAGCTC